TCATATTTCCCTATATATACAGCAAGGAGCACTGATGATGATTCATTCGGAATCGAAATATGGCCTTATTTGCAGCATGAATTCAAAAAATAAGTTTATTTTGAATTTTAATAAGCTAAACGTTCACCAAAAAACCAAAAAAGTGAGAAAAATCGAAAAAAAAACGAACTACAAACATATTAACGCCAAACATTTGGTAAAATTTATAGAATATTGTAAATATATATATATATATAATGCAGTAATTTATGAAATCTACAGAATTTCTAGCGTTGGATAGTTTTTTATTAAATTTCTCAATATTTCGAATCAAATTCTTGTCGTCATTATTTATTTGAATAACGTTGGAATAATATTCAGTTTTCCAATTCATTTTCGAGTGTATAGGGCCTATTTCGATATTTCAATCATCTTCAACACTTGTTGCAGTTTATATAGAGAATTTGTGTAACGCAGTACTTATTGCAGTTTATATAGGAAATTTGTATAATCCAGGCCTTTGTTCCTGTGATTTGCATTTATCATTATTATTAGCTTTGTTTATTTTTAATTAATTAATTAATTAAAAATTCGAGTCCTTAAAAAATATTGATATAACCGTTTCGCTAGAGACGCTTGTGTCAGTATGAACTCACCCAGATCGAGAAAGAAGTAGAAGCTTCTGGCAGCGAGATATCTAGTAAGTTCGATAAGCGTCGAAAAGACGGGTATATAAACACGTACAAGATATCTAATAGCGATTGATAGACTCGAAAGCAATATTTGAATGTGTTGAAAACGTTATTGTATCTGCGATATACGTTATCGAATTGCGATTTTGACAAGCGATAGTTAGTGAACATTAACTATTATCTTTATAATTGATAAACAGTGATAATTGATTTGTTAATAAAAGTTATATCTTGTCACTATTTTCCATTAGGACTAAACGAACCCGTCGTCTACCAGGCAGTGTAAGAAGTCAGATCTTAGGTGAAAAATAAGTGTGCATTAAGTGTGCAGTGTTAAAACATTTTGATATTTTGTCGACAATTTATTTAAAAAAAGAACATGGCAAAACTGTTTCAACTTGAGTTTATTCAACTCAAAGAAGAATTACAAAAACGAAATATTGACACAAATGGAAACAGAGGAGTTTTGATAGCATGCATAAAGAAAGCCCTTATAAATGAAAATAAGAATCCAGGTGAGTTTGAGTTTGACGATCAGGATGTCGAATAAAATGCAGTTGTAAACGCTGAGGTCAACATCAAATTAATGACTCTACTTTCAACGATATTGGCAAAAATATAACAACAGTCAACAGAAATAAAACAGACGAGAGTTCAAATTGGTGCAAAAATCAAACATCAGTCGGCCGCGATTAATGCGAAAATAATATAAGAGTTGAAAGAACTCAAAAAACAATTCGATGTCAAAACTGAACAGTAATTGGCCGTAACCAATGCAAAATGGAAAACATCACGTCAAAAGTTGAACAGAATTTTGATCAAAAGATTATCAAGCTCGACTAGAAGTTATATTGCAAAGTGGATAAATTTTAACAAAAACTGGAAGAAACTAAGAAAATAAACTCCACACATGTAAATCACGTGACCGTGAAGATATTGAAGGCGCCAACATTCGACGGAGAAACTTTTTGAAACATCTATAAAACCCAGTTTGATGCAGCAGCACTGACTTATGGCTGACATGAAAGAGAGCGACCAATAGCTTTTGTGTTGTCGTTACAAGGGTCAGCGGCAAAAGTTTTTTTAACAATTCCAGTCGAGAATCATTCTGACTATGAGGTCCTGGTAAATGCGTTGAATTTACATTATGGTGAAAAACTTATGAAGCAAATATATCGGTTTCTGTTACGAAACCGGACGGAGCGACCTGGAGAGTCAACATAGCACACCACACAGAGAAGAAACTGCATTGGAAATGTTTTTAAAAGCTGTTCGAGATTCAGATCTTAGAGACACTTAGCAGACAAACGCAAAAGATGCCGTTGCCTACAGTCTTACATTTGCGTCAGCAAAGAAAGTATCAAAAGCTGGTGTAAAGCTGCGCCAAATTTGTAAAGAATGTTCGCCTCAAATGATGATTCTAGAACAGAAGGGTCAGGATTATGGTGCACCAAAATGATGGAATAATGGAGAAAAGGGACATCAACGTCGAGATTGTAAACAACGTCCTAGAAACAGATAGATAGAAACGATTATATATATTTATATATATATATACAATGATTTGGTGTAGCTGTATAACCCAAACCAAAAAATGTTTTTTATATTTGACACTATTCCATGAGTTAAGTTTAAAATTGCCATTTTTTGAAACATTTTTACGAAAACCATATTAACATGGAATTAAGATGTTATATTCATCTAGAAAATTAATAATCAAACTAACCACCTTTTCTTAGATTTAGAAATGGACTAAATTAACGATATGGGGTGGTAATTTGTATAATCGGAATTGTTACTGCTTTTAAAGACTGAAACGATTTTTGCAAGTTAATGACAGCAGGAAAAAACAACTAGTTATGACAAATTAATTAAAAAATTTTGTGGTAAGGTGATACTATAAATGTTGCGTAAAAATATTGTAGAAATATAGCGTGAGATTTTTAATGGTTTAACAACATTATAAATTTTATTTGTATAGTTCTTAATAGAAATATAGAGTTAGGAATACAAAGACCGAAGTATACATTAAATTTATGCTTATCGTTACCAATGATACTGCCAAAAAGTTGAAATATTAATTAAGATATTATCTATTTCTATTTATCTATACAAATTTGACTATGATTTTTTAGTGTGACGTTTTCTAGATATTGTTTAATATTCATATTTAGTTTGATTATTTCACATATTTTTACACTATTATTTTCATTTATTAAAAATTTATTTTATTTTCAACTAACCTACATAAATTGGTAAGATTTTTATATCAAAGAATTAACAGAATTTGGATTATTTATAAAAGTTTTGTATAAACGTTTTTCAGTCAAATGCGATTTGAAAAGACTGAGTCATCCAAAGCTGTCTCAATTTTTTATGCTTTATTGACACGTACGGGCAGAATTGTTGTAGTATAAATATGTGGTAGTGTCAGAAATGCATGCTGCTGTTTGAACGACCCCCATAGTATGCGAAGAAGGATCATTTGTGTAAATGTTATATATCAAAGATAGGGTTACTTGAAAAACACGGTTTGGAGTGGTAATTAATGAGGAAAAACGAAATGAGTGTAAAACATTTTATAATAAAACACTATATTTATGAACATCACTTTTTAAAAGATCGATATTGAGATCGCCCGCGTGATATGCATTTTTAAATTTCGATAATTTTTCCAAGCCAGCTATCAGAAATTCAAAAAAAAAGAATTAACGTCGGTATTAAGTGGTTGATAGAGGACACTAGGTCTAACTGAGATTAGTCCAATTGTTTAAGCATTAAAAATGACGCTATCGTTTATGCTATTTTCTTACAAATAATTAGATTTATTTTCCCTCAAAAATAATTTATGCACAAAGCAATTGATTTGTTTACAAAACTTAACACCGAAGTTCTTGTTATTTTATACAACTTCTTATAATTTGTTGAAATATTTTTTATATTTTTTAGTTTTCAATAAGCATCAATTAAAGTATCGGCGTTACTTTCGAAAATACTTTACAAGTATTGTTAACAACCCTGCATGTGCATATTTGAGAATGCTACTAACGTTATAGTCATTAAAAACTCATAACTAATGAATATTTTTATGCTAAATTTTAAATTGTTTAGTTAATGTGAAAATATTTTCTTTTATCGTAAATTTTTTATTTGTTTGCAAAAAAGTTCGTACTCACAAGTTCCAAGTTCATTGAACTGCTAAAATGCAATTTTATGCATACTAAGCACGTCGTTAGTTAATTGGTCGTTAAAAAATAACCAACTTAAGTATCGATCGTTGCTTGAACTAGCCACAGAATCAGCTTAAGTAGGAATGTTATGTTATTGTCAGTGATCTAGTGCAAAGATCTAGTGCAAAGAACTTTTGGGTGAGAGGATGCTACGATGGTTAAAGACGCATATGCAATCAGTGGCGGACCAAGGGGAGAGCCATGGTCTTCTAGCTATAAACAATATTTTTATTTAAGTCTCAACTGAGGCACATTTTTTGTAAGACGTACGCAAAGTAATGCAATTATAAGATTTATGGAATAAAATACAAAAAATTAGTTTGTTCAAGCGTCTTAAAACATGCAAAATTCTTGTTTTGGCTTTTTATAATAAGCATTGCTAGAGTAAAAATATTGATTAAATCAATTTCGCCTGCCGATTTTAATATAAGACATGAATTTAAAACAATAACAAATGTCAGTCACCATATATGTAGAATAAAATATATAGGCCATTGCTATGTAAGAAGCGGCAAAACGGGCACTTAGCAACTTTTGAAGGAAGCTAATAATAATAGCATACTACTAATATTTGTTGATGATTATGCCAAGTTTCTATTTGTACTTATCGCTTTATTAAATTTACATTTAAATGGCACATTTTACCATTTTAATTCAATAAAAATTAAAATTTGGTAAACCTATTTTAAATGTTGCTAACTTTAAATTAAATATTTATTTTTGATAAAAATGAAAAATGTAATAATTTTTTTGAGTAACGTTGGTGTATAAGGTCTTTGAACTAAACGGCAGTTTGCATATTATCTATGTGTGCCATTAAGCTATCGGAACCCATTATTGATACACCACCCTGTCACTATACAAAATTATATTTACTGTTAAATCACATTAATCAACAAACCTGCATCATTCTTTTTCTCAAATTAGTGCATGTAGCGAAAAATCCAAAAAAAAAAGTGATAATGATAACTACACCAAGTGTTACAAAACAGAACCCAATTATCATCAAATCTTCGCTGTAAATTACAATTGTTTCTTTATTTGTTTTTCTCATGATCGTTCTGTTGATTAGAGCTTGGGGTTTTAAAATGTACATCAAACCAAATGTTACGAACAACACTCCGCTAAGCTGAATGAATGTAACAATTTTCGTTAAATTAAAAGTGAAGTTTATTATAAACAACTTTTTCATTAGAAAAGTGCTACAATTCTTTATGATGTTAAGTTTAAATAAATTCTGAATGAAAATTTAGTAAAAATTTTAAACGTTATATTGCATCACAATTAAATAAAATTGTTTAATTGATTTAATTAATTTCATTAAAATAACAGAATTTATAAAATTTGTCAAAAATTTGAGAACTCAAAAATGACAAAAGTAGTAACAATAATTGGTGATCAACAACAGTAATTCTTTACACATACAAAATTATGACCTTATTAATAGAGCAACTGAAAAAAGTATCAAACGTAATATGAGTAAAAGGCAAGCAGATTTAAAAAATGATGTAAGTACAATCCAGCAAATTTTTATGCTAAAACTAAAAATGGTAAATGCAAAAGGCAGACATAAGATCTACCATTTTTTTAACAATTTTCCAAAAACACTTGACTCGGCCTGGCAACTCGAGAAAATATTGTAGTGAATTGTGCCTCTTTTTACACATTTGTAAATGCCAATTAATAAAATAATCAAATCTGATCTAAAAAAATAAAAAAATTGTAAAAACCTGTCGTAGATACATGACATTATAGAATAGAGTAGAAAAATTGAATTCTACAACATTGGCCAAAGATAGAAAAAGATTCTGGAACTAGACAAAAAGTGGACGTCATCAGCCTCAACGATTCAACAAAGGATTTAAGAGGTTTATTGACTGAGCGTACCGTACATGGAGCCACCTAATTCAAACATGTTGGACGTGTGTTCTGTACATATACTAATAATTATTAATGAAAAATTTATAAAGCGCCAATTCAAAGGATCTCTAAAGGATTATCAAAATAATATAAAATAGCATTCAATATCAACGAGAACAAAAAAATTTAAAAATTTTCAGTTTTTCCTTAATGGCACGGTGAAGAAGAAAATAAAGAAAAAAAAATAAATTAATCCATTATATATATATATATATATATATATATATATATATATATATATATATATATAGTGTCAGAATTATAAAATAATGCTGACTAAAAATACTTCAAATTCCTTCAACGCAAAATTAATTCACTCGATAGGTGGCTAGAAGATTTCTTTTTTAGGAAATTTTTATGTTCAAAAACACCCGAAAAAAAATTTAAGTTTGCTTTGATATAGGGTTGTTGGTTGACTGGTTAGGCGTGCTCGAGTAATCGGTGCCTTTCTAGTATCTAAGAGACTTAATTCGTGATTCTATGCTCGTTGGCATATTTTCGGAAACGTCTTAAGTTCTCAAAATGGATTTGGTACGAGATTCTATGCTCATTGGCATAGTTTCGCACGCGTATTAAAGTCACACAATTAGTATCCAGTGTTGTTCTCACTCTTGTTGCTTCGTGTGGTTTGTGTTGGTTATGCGAAAGCCGACCAGACTTGACGGCCCAGTGAAAACAGGCCCGGGTTGTGCGAAAGCCGACCGACCGACTGACTGATTGACAGACCCAGTGAAGACAGGTCCTGGTTGGGCGAAAGCCAACTAGACTTAACGGCACAGTGAAAACAGGCCCGGGTTGTGCGAAAGCCGACCGATCGATTGACTGACAGGCCCAGTGAAAACAGGCCATGGTTGTGCGAATGCCAACTAGACTTGAAAGCACAGTGAAAACAGGCCCGGGTTGTACAAAAGCCGACCAACCAACTGACTGACTGACAGGCCCAGTGAAAACAGGCCCTGGGTTCTGTGAAAACGAATCCGCCTTGTTGTTGGGATCCAGCGAAAGCAGATTTTTTTGTTGTGCTATTTGTGGACCTAGGGTTTATTGCTGGATTCTATACTCATTAGTGTAGTTTCGCAAGCAGCTTGGAATTCCCATAGGCTCCGATTTTTTTGTAATCTTTCTTTATTCATTTCATTTATCTCTCAGAGTTGTATCAACACCACTATCGGTCACACACGTCGAGGTTGTACGATTGAACGGCAAAAAACATAACCCAAAGTTGCCCGACCCCATCAAGAAGATGTTCTAATTCCTGTATTCCAGTTCGTTCATTGACATATTATTTTTAACATTATTCTAGAGTTCAGTTAGTTCACTTTTTTTCATTTATTTTCGTCGATTAATAAAATTGTTATCGAATATTTTACTGGTACGTGAGTTACTCAGTAAAATCATAAAATTCGAAAAAGCCCAGTCCCACACAGGACTGGTTAAACTCACGATAAAAATATACCAAAAAAAAAATTATTGTCTGAGATAAAAAAATTCCCTGAGAAAGATAGAGAAAAAGATTATCTCCCTTCCGCCGTACGCCCCACGCGAACAAACACTCAAACGCACAGACAGACCCCACACACCCAACAATTTCCTACAATATATATATATATATTGTTACAACTGGCCGATCGACGACGAGTTCGTGAAAAATGTTGACAGGCAGGAAATAAATTCCAAATTATCCATTTATTTATTTATTTATAAAACAATAATTAATTAAGTTGTCAATAATCAACGTCAATTAATTTTACTAATAAAAGTTAATGTTCACAAACTACCAAATTAACGTTCAGAAACTATCTTTTCCGAATAACAATGCACCAACGTCTATCGCAAATACATTAAAAACAAATCGCAGTCAAATATCACCTTCGACGTTAACAATCAATCGCTTTCTAAAATCAAATACTCAACAACAATCATTGAATATCTCGCATGCCTTTATATACCCGTTTTACCAACGCTTCTTGAACGTCCTAGATATCTCCCTGTTGGAAGGTTCCTTCTCGAACTAAATGTGCTCGAAACGACATTAGCCCTCTAGCGAATATATTTGTGACGGTTAATTGTTATAACCGTCACAAATATATTCACTAGAGGCGCTAGTGTCGCTACAAACGCATACAGTTCGAGGAGGAACTAGAACATTCTGACAGTGAGATATCTGGAAGTTTTGAAAAGCGGATATTGGCAAGTAGAGATCGAAATAGCGACCGTGAAAAAACAGCATTTTCAATCGGATCAGGCTTGTGGCAATTTACTATAATGCAGTTTAGACTGTGCAATACTCCAGCTGAGTTTGAACGACTAATGGAATGTGTATTACGAGTTTTCACCAGGAAAACATGTATTGAACATCTTTGACGATATAATTGTTATAGGAAAGTCGTTCAACCAGCATGTCAAGAATTTACAAGATATATTTTTGAGACTTCAAGCAGCGAACTTAAAGCTGAACGTTAAAAAGTGCAAATTGTTTGCAAAAGATATGAATTACCTTGGACATATGTCAGATCCAAGTAGTTTTCTCGGATTAGCTACATGTTACCGACTTTTCGTAAAAGATTTTGCAAGAGTTGTACGATCACTAAATAAACTCAAGGAAAATGATCGAGCGTTTAATTGGAATGAGTTGTGTGAAGCGGCTTATGAACGACTAAAAAAAGAATTATGTGAAACCCCCTTGTTAGCACACTCAATCCGAGGTAAACCATTTGTGGTAGATACGGATGTAATCAACTGTGGAATTGGAGTAGTTTTGTCACAAATTGTTGACGGGGAAGAAAATGTTTTGGCCTATTGCAACAAAAGTCTTACAAAGCCTGAACGTAACTACTGCGAACCAGAAAAGAGTTGCTAGCGATGGTCACGGCAACAAAACTATTCCACAAGTACCTTTACGGACAAAAATTTTTTTTCGAACGTATTATACAGCGTTAAAATGGTTTCTCAATTTCAAAGTTCAAGAAGGGCAGGTGGCATGATGTTTGGAACGATTACAAATGAATTACTTTAAAATTATGCACCGTAAAGGAACCTCCCACAACAATGCCTATGCACTTTCTCGTCGACCTTGTTTACCAGGTTGCAAATACTGCAGTCGACTGTAAGAGAAAGTACAAACAGAAGATGTACAAAATTTACGATAACGACAGATATAGGATAAACACCGGAAGAACTGGCAAGTGTGCAATCTGCAGGCTCAGTGAGACTCCTTTTATTTAAAAGATAGATTGCTTAAACGGAAATGGAAATCAACTGATGTACCGAAACATTGCATGCAGATTGTGGTACCTTGAAATAAAGTCGTAGAAATTCTTAAAAAATACAAGGTGGCTCATCAGGAGGACATCTTGCTTGGAGTTAATAAGACGCTTGACAGAATACGTGAGAGGTTCTACTGGGTTAACGCTCGAAAGGATGTGGAAAGTTGGTGTCGAAAATGTAGTAGGTGCGCAGCAGTGAAAGGTCCTAAAAGGAGGTTAAGAGAAAAAATGCAAATCTATAATGTTGGTGTGCCCTTCGAAAGAATTGCTATCGACATTGCCTGACTATTTCCTGAATCAAATGATGAAAACCGTTACATTATGGTTGTAGCGGACAATTTTAGGAAGTGGCCGGAAGTGTATCCGATACCAAATCAGGAGGTTTGTACCATTGCAAAAGAGATCGTGAAGAACTGGATCAGTCGGTATGTTGTTCCATGGAGCTGCATTCAGTTCTCGGTCGAACAAAACTGCGTCGCAACTGTTTGGTGAGCAGTGTCAAATAGTAGATATAAAAAATACAAGAACAACTCCTCTTCACTCTTAGTCAGATTGGATGGTGAAACGTTACAACCAAACACTAGTTGAAATTAATTTGATAGTTTGTAAACATTAACTTTTATTAGTAAAATTTTTTAGCGTTGATTATTGATTAACTAATTAATTAACAATAGTTTAGTAAATAATTGAATCGATATATTGTCTTCATTTTTCACTGGGATTAAACGAACTCGTCGTCGACCGGATAGCCGGCAATATATATATATATATATATATATATATATATATATATATACATATATATATATATTTATATATATATATATATATATATATATATATATATAAATGTAAAATTAGGGTTAAGACTGTTGTAGATATATATGTATATATATATATATATATCTACATTCGGAATCGAAATATGGCCTTATTTGCAGCATGAATTCGAAAAATAAGTTTATTTTGATTAAATTAGGGTTAAGACTGTTGTAGATATATATATATATATATATATATATATATATATATACATTCGGAATCGAAATATGGCCTTATTTGCAGCATGAATTCGAAAAATAAGTTTATTTTGAATTTTAAATAAACTAAACGTCCACCAAAACACTTTAGTGAGAAAAATCGAAAAAACGAACTACAAACATATTAACGCCAAACATTTGGTAGAATTTATAGAATATTGTAAAAATTATGGTCTATTACCAACATTTACTTGATGTTCTGCGACCAACCGACGTAATCTAACAATCGAACAAGATCGCGAGCAACGACTGCTCCATCTCTTTCGAGAATTAGAAGTTAAAAGAAAGGTAGTTCAAGACTTGTCCAATCAACTAACTGAATTGTTGAATCAATGGGATCACTGTGATGCTGATTGCAGTGTCAAGAATGAACTAAACTTATGCCGGAAAGAATTTATAAATGCATATATGCAATCATCAAAACTAAAACTTCATAAAAACTGACCAACCTGATAACCAAAGGAAATAACAATGTTAAAAAATATAGATTCATCAATCTTAGCCATCACATCCTTACAGACAAGCAAAAAGCGTTCTTAAACCTGAGATTGAATTGTCACTATCTGAACAAACGCAACAAAATTGAGAAAATCATTGAGATAGAAAAACTAATGATGTCTATAAGCGACGCTGAACGTCAAAGTAAAATAAGCGTCAACCCCTCTATTGCCATTGAGCTTCAAGCTGAAGCTAAGAAACAACGTGGTAGTTTTCAAAGCAAGCTACTCACTGATGAGATGAAAGATGAGGCGAAACAACTAAAGGAAAATAAAGATATTGTAATACGACGCGCAGATAAATCTGCACAATATGTCATTATTGACCGAGCCGATTATCATGAAAAACTCAATGATGTTCCCAAAGATACAAAAAAGTTCCAAGTAATCAAAAAAGATCCAACTCCTCAACTAAAAACTAAACTAAACACAATAATTAAAAAAATAAAAAAGCACATCACTGATGATAAACTTCCATCACTTATAGGCGAATACTCTCCTGGCTACTTATATGGAAATATAAAAACGCATAAGAATAATCATCCCATCCGACCAATTATTAGCCAAATTACAACTGCCACATACCCTGTTGCAAAATTCTTGAACAAAATTTTAACCCCACATATTCCAAACAATTACACACTACAATCTTCCCGCGAGTTTATTAATCTTCTCAGTATTAATTAACCATCCAAATTTATTGCCTTCCTGGATGTTGAATCACTATTCACAAATGTACCAATTCATGATACAATTGACATAATTATCAACACCGTTTACCACTCAGATATGGTTCCATTGAGCATAGCGAAAGCACAACTGAAGTCCCTTCTTCAAATTTGCACTACCGAAGCACCATTCCACAGCCCCACAGGCAAATTTACAAGCAAATCGATGGTGTCGCTATGGGTTCCCCCCTTGGCATCCTATTTGCCAGTTTTAACCTAGGACATCTGGAGAATAAGACATTCAAAAACAATGCAAATTTAAAACCAAATATCTACGCTAGATGCGTTGATGATATCTTTATCTCCTATAACGATCCTGAACAAATCACCCAACTTCTTGGTACCTTAATCAAATCAAAACTAAGATTTACCATTGAAATTGAAAAGGAACAACGTTTACCTTTCCTCGATGTGTTGGTCACCCGTGACGAATAACGATTCAAAACTGCGGTCTTTGTCAAAGAAACAAATACAAAAATTTGTTTGAATGGACAAAGTGATTGTACCGAACAATTTAAAGACAACACAATAAAATCATTTGTAAACCGGGCATTCACACACTCTTCCGATATTGAAAATCGCGACGCTGAATTAAAAAGAGTCACTAACCTTATTGTAAACAATGGATATAAGACTTATTCAATTGAAAAGATTGTTAAAGGCAAATTACTACACAGCAATAACCTTCCTAGTACCAACAATCAAGATAACGACATGATCTTGTATTACAGAAATCATATGTCAACTGCATACAAAGTAGATGAAGCTATTCTTAAACATACCATCAATAAAAATGTCACACCAACCCAAATAGTAAAGTTAAACTCCGAATTTATTAAAACAATAAAAAGACGTCTCACCTAATACTGAAAAAACAACTGTAGTCCTAAAGATAACTCTTTGTTAAAGCGTAATCACGTAATATATGAATTTAAATGCCCCTTTGACGGCTGTGCACTTCAACATGACTCATATATCGGGATTACTACTACCTCACTGATTAGAAGGCTTACGATGCATAAACAGAATGGTGCTATCAAATCTCATTTGGACTCAATACACTCAATCACTATTAGCCGTGAAATCCTCGACAGCAACACCAAAGTAATATACCAAAACAGCAACTACACGCATCTTAAAATTGCAGAAGCAGTCCTAATTGACGTCAATAAACCAAAAATAAATATACAACAAAAAATTACACCTCACTCCCAACCCGACGCTTAACCAACAATGAAAACAAAGAAGTAATAAAAACTAGCATTGTAAATAATGACAAAGAAGAATATGATGTATTCGATGAAGAAAAAGAGACCAAAAAACACGACCAGCCAATAAAGAAACCTGACACCAAATTTCCATCAAAGTTCATTTTTACAACGTCAATTTCCATCTATGTTCATTTGACAAAGTCAATATTTCCCTATATAAACAACAAGAAACACTGATGATGATTCATTCGGAATCGAAATATGGCCTTATTTGCAGCATGTATTCGGAATATAAGTTTATTTTGAATTTTAATAAACTAAACGTCCACCAAAAAACTTTAGTGAAAAAAATCGAAAAAACGAACTACAAACATATTAACGCCAAACATTCGGTAGAATTTATAGAATATTGTAAAAATTATGGTCTATTAGTAACATATATATATATATATATATATATATATATATATATATATATATATTATATATATATTATATATATATATATATATATATGACATTTATGACAAAACATTATTAACAACGTTATTACTACAGAAAAGCTTTTTTCGGCATCAGTGTAGTTATATAGTATTGTTCCGTCTTTGTGTCTTTGTTTTCATAGCGACTTTGATTAAATTAAATTAATTGACTTTGATTAAATTAAATTAATTGACTTAATTAGAATTAAAGTTAATCATGTGTTTCTTTGTTGGAAAAATATTGATATTATTTAGTTGAATATTTATTGCTGGTTTAAGTTTACCGATGAAAATTGATTCTGCTATCTTCAATTTGAAGTATTCTCTGTTATAATAAATTTTTTTGGTGTTATTGTCTAGAATTTCCCTTGTTATAATAGTGTTGTGTTGTTCCATTAGGTGGTCTTTTATTGCTCCATTTTGCTTATGCATAGTGAGTCTTCTCGTTAATGTTATTGTAGTCATTCTGATGTATTCAGAATTTTGAGGATGCACTGACCAATTTGACATGTGAATGAATAAATCAAATGACTACTTTTCATATCCGAAAAGGTTTAGTGTTGGCATTGTTTTTTATTATTAGAGATTATGTTTTCCTGTTCGTGTAGTAAATACTTAATTTTAATGAGCTGTTTGTATCTATGACTTTAACATTGTTATTTATTATCTTTTTCATTATTGTTTCATCTTTTTTATATGATGAAGACATACTATTTTTATAATTAATTATGATGTCTTTTATATTGTTGTTATTGTCGTTTGTATTTTCATTGTTAAGTTGTTGTTCTTTGCGGTGAATTATTTTCTTTATTTGTGATAGTTTGTATTCATTATTAATTAGGAGATTAGTTACTCGTTGGAGTTCTTTTTCTCTATCCTCGGATTTTGATGAGTGAGTATACGCCCTGTTGACGAAGGCACTGGTGGTAATGGTTAGGAATGTTTCAGTGCACTCGCTAATCCCATTGAGACAGAGTCCTTTGTTTGTTTGTTCCTTTCACACAAACAGGAAAACATCATCTCTAATAATAAAAAACAATTCCAACAACACTAAACCTTCCTCGGATATGATTTGATTTATTCACACATAAAATTGGTAAGTGCGTGCATCAAAATTCTGAATACATCGGAATGACTACAACAACATTAAATGAGAAGACTCACTATGCATAAGCAAAATGGAGCAATAAAAGACCACCTAATGGAACAACGCAACACTATTATAACAAGGAAAATTCTAGACAATAACACCAAAGCAATTTATTACAACAGAGAATACTTCAAATTGAAGATAGCAGAATCAATTTTCATCGATAAACTTAAACCAGCAATAAATATTCAACAAAATAATACCAATATAAATATATTATATTTGTTTTATTTTATTTTTTTTATTTATTTCTTCAAAGACACAAAAAATAAACAGAAAAATACTTGTAATAGTGCCTTAACTAAAAATTGTCAAAAATATTTCGATGAGAAAACTAAAATGACTAAACTTTTGCAAGACACATTGCATAGTTACACGCATATATATAAATTATATAAATATATATAAAACATTATTCTATGTTATGATAATAGATGACAATTTATAAAAAAAATGAATATATATATATATATATATATATATATATAAACAATCAAAATTTTTTGTTCAAAGTGAGAGGACAGGTAGGGAGATGGAAGATTTTAAAAATACAGAAAAAACCTGTGTTAATATAAAATATGTCAAGAATTTAGAAATAAATGATAACAATGATAAAGACTGCAACATAATAAATCGTAATTTAACACTAGGTTTATTGAACATTAGATCATTGATTTCTAAAACTGATACGATCTATGATTTGATTCATGGTGGGCTAGATATTTTCGTTTTAGTCGAAACTTGGCACGGATCTTCGAATAACATATCCGTTAAATCATCAATGCCACCAGGATATAGTTATGTTGATTTTTTAAGAATAAATGATCCTCACCATGGGGGTTTAATTATTTACTTCAGTAATGAATTTAAGTTTAAGAAAATAGATCTGCCAATATTTAGTTCAATTGAAGCACTTGCTGTTAAATTATTTATTAGTAACAAAGATTTTGTTCTATTAGCCCTCTACAGGCCAGGATCAGTTTTAGTTAGTAATTTATTTTTTGAAGAATTTTTATGTTTACTAGAAAATATCACTTCTTTTAGTTTAAATATACTTTTGGGCGATTTCAACATTCACCTTGAGAAACAGGAAGATCGTCATACTGTAAATTTATTGGAAATATTAGAAATGTTTCAATTAAAAAATTTGATCGACGAACCGACTCATGAACATGGAGGTATTCTTGATCTGATCATTTGTTCTCAAGATTTTCAGATTTCAGATATTAAGATTTTTCCCAGTGGGACTTTTTCAGACCATAGTTTAATTCAGGTTAACATACCATTAACTCATAAGCGTCCTAAAATAGTCAAGAAACAAGTTAGATCCTGGAAATACCTAAATGAAAGCAATCTCATTAAATATATACAGACTTCTCCATTATCAAGGTCTTGCCAAAGCAATAATATTAATATTGAGTTTGATATGATGAGTTCTGAACTCAAGAAATTGGCTGATGCAGCTGCTCCACTTCGTTTTGTAGAAGTCAGATGTGATGTTAATGCTCCGTGGTATGATGGTAAATGTAAATCTTTCAAAAGACTTTGTCGAAAGAAAGAAAGGAATTACAGAAAATATCAGACAGAGAAATGTAAAAATGAACAGTTATTGGAAAAGACTTGTAGCAGACAATAGTGGATCTTCTAAAAATCTATGGAATGTTATTAATAAAGTCCTTTGTAATCAGGTCACTAGTCAGTCATTGAGTGAAATTGTTGGTTTAGATTCGTCCCAATTCTTAAAGTTTTTTAATGATAAAGTAAATAAAATTAAACAGTCTACCAATGTGAGTAATTGTCCGACTATTTGTCAAGCTCAGTACAATGGGAATTGTTCTTTTCCTGACTTTATGCTTTTAACAGAATCTGACGTTAAAAAAATTGCCATCAATCAGTTTGCCATCAAAAACATGTATGATAGATGTCTTGCCGACCCATATTTTAAAAAAATATATTGATTTATTCATCGTTTTTCTTACCAGCATCTTAAATCTGAGTCTGAGCAGTGGCACATTTCCTAATGGTTGTAAGCATGCTATGGTTTATCCAGTATTAAAAAAAGTGAATATGGATCAAAATGATTTGTCTAGTTATAGACCAATTTCCAACATCTGTTTTATTTCCAAGATATTTGAACGAGTGGTTGCCAAACAGCTCTTGAATCATTTGAATGTAAACAACCTGCTACCAGTTCACCAGTCTGGATATCACCGCTATCATTCAACGGAAACTGCACTGCTTTATGTGTTTTCTGAGTTGTTTGCTGCTTTGGACAAACAACATGTGGCTCTAGTCGTGTTTTTAGATATGAGTGCGGCATTTGATTGTGTAGACCATCAGATTCTCTTGGAAAAATTGGTTCATGATTATGGTATTTTCGGTACTGTTATCAAGTGGTTCAGATCATATCTGTTTGACAGAAAGCAACAAGTAGTCTTCAATAATGTGTTATCTAATGAAACGGTTTTGACATCAGGAGTGCCACAAGGTTCAGTGTATTCTTTTTATCATGTATACCGCTGAAGTTTTTAAAGTAATTGGTAATTTTGGTTTTAAATATCATGCCTATGCTGATGATATTCAGATTATAGTTAGTAATAAGCCAGAATTACTGCAATCTGAAATCAACAAACTTGTAACCTGCCTAAATAACATAGATAATTGGATGTCAAACAATGGTCTTAGATTAAATCAGCAGAAGTCAAAATTTGTTCCAATAGGTACATGGCAGCAGCTGATGAAACTTAATATCGATTCAGTGAAAATAGGAGATGTTAAAATAGAATTTAGTGACAAAGCAACTAATCTGGGTTTCATTCTTGATTCTAGATTATCGATGCATGATCATATAAAGATGATAACAAATTCTTGCTCCGGACAGATTCGAGAACTCTATAAACTCCGTAGGTCATTAGATAAATCTGCTATTCATACCTTGGTGCATGCATTGCAATGGTCTGTTTTACGGTTTGCCAGATAGGTCTATTTCTGCAATTCAATCTATTCAGAATAGAGCAGCCAAATTGATTGTTGGAGGTCTCAAATTTAACCATGTTACTCCAATTCTTAAGAGCCTTCATTGGCTTACTATAAAGAAAAGAATTAAATATAAAATATGTATTTTAATGTATAGAACTGTGCATGGCTTGTTACCAAGTTATTTGATAGATAAAATAAAAGAAAAGTCTATAATGATGAGTGGTATGAACCTTAGATCAGATGATGGCATTTTGCTGGTTGTACCTGATGTCAATCTGCAGATAGCATCAAGAGATTTTGCAGTATCTGGACCAATGGTTTGGAACAGCTTACCGAGATCTTTTAGAACTAAAGATTTGAAACTTGATGATTTTAAAAAGAAACTTAAAACTTACTTATTTTCGCTTTGATTTTGTTGTTAAGTGAATAATTATTTGTTTGTTACTACCGCCATTGACTGTACTTTTTTTCTTTTTTGACTTTGTTTGATTATAGATAGCGCTTTTGAAAACTTTTTGATTTTAATTAGCGCTTATAAATGTATCATTAATAATATATATATATATGTAAAAGTCAGAGTAATGAAAAATATATACATACATACACACATACTTACTTAACCACATACATACGTACATATATATTGTTTATTGTTTATTTTCTTCAAAGATACAAAATAAACAGAAAAAATAATTATTAAATTATAATTATTTAAAAGCACATAGCAATGATGAACTGAAGTGTTTGTGGTCCGAATCTTTTAACAACTATATTGCGATTGACAACCAACTCCCTGATTCGTGCGATATCAAACCGACACTCAATGCGACAATGTTTCGACAACAAAGTGCAGAATTTGCACGACTGACCTCCCTCCGTTGTCAATAGTCTTAGCAATCAACAATGAGATTCCTGTGACTCGAATTGCTCACTGGTCACGTTACGTTATGAGCCCTTCCAGAGGTTCTGTTCAGATTTGTCCGGTAAGGTTTAATTCAACAGCTGCCGACAAATGCCAACCTATCCAGATGGGAAAAGTCCTCCACTGCCCAGTGCTCGTTAATGCAAAAATACGCAAACCAATAAACATGTACTATCCAACTGCCGATATCAGCCCTGTTCGAATCAATACGCCCTGACGTTGCCATTCTCCTTGGGAGTACCATTGTAGTCCTGGAACTCACTGTATGCCACGAAACAAACTTGGCCAAGCCAAAAGAATATAAAATCAACAAATACAAAAACAGATCTCAATAATACCATTCATTTGCTCAAGGCCAACCTCAAAAACAATTTTAAACATTACAAAATAATTCTTAAAACATTTGAAATATCTCCAATAAGGCTTTTTAATAAATTTAATTTACAGTTAATTAACATAATATGGTCAGATTCGTTTGTAAATAAGTTGACGTTAACAGCAATAACCCATTCGTACAATATCTACTGTGAACGTAATAATCTATAATATTCTTTGTTGCTTTAAAACTTTTTCGTGCTTGCGTTAGGCAATGAAAAAAAAATTTTTATTATCAATAACTCCATATTATTATTGTATAAATTTTATTGTTATATTTTACTCGCTGCATTATTAACTCAAACTAAATTTATTAACCATTAACTTTTAATTATTCTTTCTTTTTCATGTACGTTTTATTTCATGATGCAAATAAAAAGCTGTTCTCATTATTTTTATTATTATTATTATTATTATTATTATTATTATTATTATTATTATTATTATTATTATTATTATTGCTGTAAAACTTGAACACAAGAGTCGTTTTAGCGCGGCTCACTGTTTTCCCAGCAATATAAAATTATTTAGCCGTTGTAGATATTTAAATATAGTATTAAATTGTTGGATAAATTGCGAGGAATATGGCTGTGTTTTCAAAAGTTGAATTTGACAAATATTGCAATTTTAATAAATTTATTTTTATAATTTTAATTTTAAATTCGTTTATTGCTGTCAACGCTACAATATGCCCGCATTGTTCTAAAGAATTTAAATTTATTAACAGACACTCCTGGAGGTGCACTAACTTACATTCAAACTCTAATTTAAATATTCCTTTAAACAACAACAACGTTAATATTTCTCCTAATTTATTAACAAATAATAATAATATTTTACCGGATATTTCTGATTTTACGTTGTCATGCTGCTGTGGAAAACGTTCTAATGGTCGGAAAGGACTTACAATGCACCAGAGATCTTGTAAGACATATAAATCACTAAAGCCTAAAGTTAAAACAGACGACGTCAGCGACAGCACGAAAACAACTTTCAAACACACATCAACAACAGCTACCATTTCAAAACCACTTCCAGGAATAAAAATGCCAAAATCATCGTCACATTGGTCTGAAGCCAACGCATTCTTCCAAATGGAACTCAAACCCCTAGATATCATCTCAGACATTGACAGCTTCGCTACAAACTTTTAGGAGACAATATACTCCTACTTCGCTGCCAACTGTGGTACGCTGAATTCAAAAACAGCCCATAACGCAGTCAACAACCGTGATATTAGGCAACTGAAAATGAAATTAAAAAACTTAAAGTTCCTAACTCGGACCAATCAACAACTCAACAAAGAAGTAAGTGTATTAAGTAAAACAATAAGAACAATGTTAAAAGCAATAAAATTACAAAAAATCAACAACAACAGCGACAATATTTCAGCAAAACTAAAAAAAATTTCTGAAAGACATGCAACATCACCTTCTCAAAATCAAACTCTCAATCTCCACTCTTCAACGTTGAGACCGCCACCAAGTACTTCAATGACATCTTAAAACCTAGCGACCGTACATCGTTTCGTCTTCCTAGCTGGATTCCTCCTCTTCTCCTTCCATCATACACCAGCAATTTAGAACCTCCAACTTACAATAAAATCACAACAATTATTAGAAAAAGCAAAGCCAAAGCATCATCACCATGTCCGTCAGACCAAATCTCAATCATAGCTTTTAAAAGATTTCCTATACTCAAGACATATCTTCATAAACTATTAATATTGTATTGGAAATCAAAAACAATTCCCCAGTGCTGGCGCAGAGGGTCGACAATCCTGATCTACAAGAAGGGCAACGCCAGCGACCCTTCAAATTTTTGCCCAATCACTCTACAACCAGTACTATACAAAGTATTTTCCGCTTTAATAAAATCCAGATTGTAAAATTTTCTTGAAAAAAAATAATTTTATCAACAACAATATCCAGAAAGGATTCTATCCAGCAGTTGATGGATTGGCCGAACATACACAAATGCTCTCCCATTTGTTAAATAACGCAAAAAGACACCAATGTTCCATTGTAGTCGCATTGCTAGATCTACGGAATGCATTTGGAGAAATAAGCCATCATCTTATCGACTCCGTTTTGAAATACCATCATGTTCTACAGCCATTTCACGAATTAATTAATTCAATATATTCTGACTATTCAATAGCAATTAATGGTGAATCAACGCAGGTAATACCAGTCAGAAAAGGTGTGCTCCAAGGCAATCCGTGTTCACCATTACTTTTTAATATATGCTTCAATCCTCTCATGATGATTCTAGACAGTCAGGAATACAAACAATTTGGTTACCTGTGGGGCCCAACCTTCGACTTAGAAGCTAGATCATGGCTACAATTTGTCGACGATTCGGCAATAATATCACACAGCACTGAAGGCGCACAAAAGCTAATTGATCTAAACCAGGCCTGGTGCATTTGGTCAGAGATGAAGATGCGAGTTGATAAATGCTCTTCCTTCGGAATGAGAAAACTAGATGGTAGCTATCAACAATTCATGCCAAGATTGACCATTGACGACGTAGCTATCCCCAATGTAAAGATTGGCCAGGGTTTCACTTATCTAAGCAAGTTATTTGACTACGATTGCTATGATAAAAAAAGCAAAAAATATGATTCACACAAAAGTCGTTCAACTGCTGGAAACAACTACAAATTTAGATATCAGCCCGCAACAGAAGCTTCAAATTTTAAGAAGATACCTACCTTCACAGCTAAATTTTGAACTGCGTAGCTACAAATTCTTGCTTACCTGGATATCTGAAAACCTAGATAACCTAATGGTATGAACGGTTAGAGAATGGTTGAGCATGCCAATCAGCAGTTGCGTATCGGAACTATTATCACTGCTTTCGAAAATGGCGGGAAATGACATCATCTCATTGAAAAATTTAGCGGAAAAAATGAGACTGAAACGCCGTAATTATTTCAAAACCAGCGGCAACAAAGAAATCCAATGTTTATGGAGAGAATCATCTATTGATTATATCAAGATTGATAAGGAACTTGCGAAGGGAGGCACGTTAAAAACATCGCTTAAGCATCTGGAAGGTGAGAGGATTGAATCTAACTTAAATCATCTACTTTCATTGCAGAGCCAAGGTTTATTGATTTCAAAAATAAAGAATTTTGTTCAATCTTCCCGCATATCATGTTGGTCAAAGACATTAGAAAATCTCAGCGAGGTCCACTACAAATTTGCCAGAAAGTATCTTGTCCAGCAGTTGCCAACAAGTGCGAATTTGTTCCAATGGGGCAAAACACAAAACCCTCTATGCCAATTGTATGATCTTCGCCAGACAAATAAACATGTGCTCTCCAACTGCGGTTCCAAGTCTGCTCTAGGAAGATACACCGAGAGACACAACAATGTGTTGACCGCGATCATCACCTGGTTAAAAATCTGTGCTCCAACCAACTGTATCATATTTGCCGACCTAGATTTAGATGATGTTCGCCCAATAACACAACTGTTCAACACCCTTCGTCCCGACATTGCCATTCTTTGAAACAACAAAATAGAAATTTTAGAATTAACTCTGTCACGAAACCAACCTAGAATCCTCCAGACAGTATAAAAGAGATAAATATTCAAATAAATTGCAATCATGTTTAAATGACAGCTACAAACATTGCTCGATAACTATAAATTCGTTTGAAATAACACCTATTGGTTTTTATAATCATTTTAATCTTTCTCTATTTAAAGTTTTATGGCCAATTTCTTTTAATGACAAATTAGTAAGTGAAGTAATAAGATCCTCTACAATATTTATTGCAATAGAGACATGCCTTGATACTAACTTTTAAATATATTTTACCGCACTACATTTGCCAACGCAATGAGTTGTGGGGTATACATACACTTTTATTTAGTTTTTTATTTCATTAACGCTATATTATTTTATTTCATTTATTTTATTCATTTGCTTTTAAAGTTTTGAGATCAATAAAAGAGTTTTCATTATTATTATTTTGTCAATATGGATAATAACAATTTAATTCAATGTTGCTGCGGAAGGTTCTGTATAGGTCGCAAGGGACTAAAAATGCACCAACGTTCGTGCAAAACACATGAACAACTTCAATTAACTAACGATGAGGAAAACACCGTCGAAACATCAACTTCGACGTCGCCACCACCTTCGTCATCGTCGGATGTTCATCAACAACCTAAGACAACAAGCTACCAGACGCTACAAAATGTTGAAAACACTGAAACGCCTCATCTTGAAATCAGACTTCCTCAAAATCCAGCTTAATGACATGAGGTCAACGCACGCGTATTTTCAACTTTATCAATCAACGCTACTACATCTCACCAATTTGAATAAATTTAAAATCGGTTTCCAAACCATGATCTACAATTACTTTGCCTCTAACTTTGGCACCATAACAATAAAATTAAACCAGACGGATTTACAAAAAATTCAATTAACCTGATGAAAAAAAATTAAAACAACTTAAATTCTTGGGCCGCAATAACCATCATTTCGACAACCAAATAAGGTCGGTTAGCAAAACGTTGAGATCAAAGTTATCGTCATCAAAATCTTCCAACTCAGCTAAACAATACAACACGACAAGCCTACTCAAACTTCGATTTTGGTGGTTTTGCAAAAAATTTCATTTCAACTACAAGTGTGAGTCCATCATACAGCGTCACCGTTTGCAAAAACTACTTTAACTCCATCCAAAGCGACACTCACAATAGGAAGCAACAGCTGCCAAACTGGATCCCAAAACCTTGCAAATCCTCTCAGCTAAAACGAAATCTCAAAAATTATTCGAAAATATAAATCAAGATCATCCCTATGTCCACTTGACCAAATCTCAATAATATCATTCAAAAAATGCCCAATTCTCAGAACTATTCTCCAATTAATCCAATGTTGGTCATCTTCTTCAATTCATTCATGCTGGAAAAAGGATTTATGATACAAATCCACAAAAAAGGTGATGCCAACAACCCATCGAACTTCCGCCCAATAAGACTGCAACTAACACTATACAAAATATTTTCATCGTTCATCAACAATAGAATGTATAGCTTTCTTGAAACAAATAAATTAATAAATAAAAGCATTCAAAAAGGGTTCTATCCTAGAGTTGATGGTTTAGCTGAACACACCCAGATGTTAACGAACATGATCAACGATGCTAAGAGACACCAACGTACCATCATCGTCAAGCTCTTAGATTTTTGTAACGCATTTGGAAAAGTCAGCCACAACCTCATCTCTTCAACGCTAAATTAAAAAAAATCAAAATTCTATTTATTTTAAATCCAAAAATACAAAATGAAAAAAAAAACAGATTGTGCCGGTTTACAGAGATCACATAAGAATAACAAAATTTGTAAAGACCACCGTGAATACAATAATCAATTTAAAAATAAGAACACACATATATACAAAAGTTGATCAATTCGCTAGAAGTATGACTGGCTGGTGTTACCCATTACAGTTAAGTTATTAACATATGCATAAGCAGTTCAATTGCACAAAATACAACATATAATCATAGTATTTAATTAAGATAGTTTATTAAATGACGATTATGCAAATATGTAGGTTAATTAACAATTAAACAAAAAGAACAAGAAAACTGAAATTGTTTTGACTGTTTCCACCCTGAGTTAAATTAAAGATTATTATCACATTCCTCTTCAGATTAAAAATTTAATAAATAATATTTATGCCGATTATTCAATCTCTGTCTCTGGTTGTGAAAACTTAACTTCTCCCATACCGGTTAAACGTGGGGTCCTTCAAGGTGATCCCGTTTCCCCCTGCTGTTTAATTTGTGTTTCAATCCGTTGATGACACTAATCGAAAAAAAAGAATTTCAACAGTGTAGAAACATATGGAGACCCACAACCAATCTAAAAACCAGAGTTTGGCTTCAGTTTGCCGATGACACGGCCATCATTGCCAACAGCACTGACAGTACCCAAAAATTAATTAATCTGAACCAAGCCTGGTGCAAAGCAACCGGAATGAGTATGAGGATTGACAAATGCTGTGTCTTTGGCATGAGAAAGAAAAATGGCATATACATATACGAACAGTTTCTCCCAAGGTTGGCCATCAATGATAAAGCAATACCTGACGTTAAACTTAATGATCGTTTCGAATGCCTGGGAAAAATTTAAGATTTTGAAGGACGCGACTCAAAGGCGAAAACGTTGCTTATCTAACTCCAACACATGTTGTCGGTTATAAACGAGTTGGACACAACGCCACAATAGAAATTGCAAATATTAAGGCAATACATCCCATCCCAGTTGGCATTCAAACTTTGCATTTACGACATTCCGTTGATTTGGATAGGCAACAATCTGGATCCATTGATTGCTGAATCGGTTAGAAACTGGTTGGCCCTGCCAATTAACAGCTGCGTGTCGGAGTATCTGTCACTTCTTTTTAAATGAGGGGGATTGAATATCAGATCATTTAAGAAGCGTTAAGAGTCAAACTTCAAAGTTAACTCAAAACGCATGCCAATGATGAAATAAGATGTTTACATAAAAAAATTTTTAACAGTTACATCAAAATAGACAACATCCATCCAGAATCAGCTGAAATAAAACCAACACTTAAAGCACTATTGGCGGGTCAACAAAAGTCCTATTATGTTCATCTATCATCACTTCAATGTCAAGAGATGTTAGTTAAAGCGATTAAAAATCATATTCCAGAAATACACATGGTCGAAGATCACAAAAGGCTTACCAAAGGTTTTATTCAAATTTGTCAGGAAGGGTCTCATTCAGCAACTTCCAACAAATGCCAACCTCTATCGCTGGGGCAAAATGCCAAATGCTCTGTGTCCACTATGTCAGGCTCGTCAAAATAATAAGCATGTGTTGTCAAACTGCAATTCGATTTCGTCCCTAAAAAGATATACAACACGTCACAACATTATACTATCGATGATTTTAGAAAAAATTCAATCAATTGCAGGTGCGGATGTACTGATCTACGCAGATTCCAACTGCGACAAATACCTTCCAGTATCATCTCTCGTCAAATCACTCCGTCCAGATATTGCCCATTCGACGAGGTGATACTATCAAAATACTGGAATTAACAGTTTGCCACTAATCTAACTTCTCTAAATCAAAGGAATATAAAACTTATATTAATAACAATTGTCAGGGTTCAGTGTAGCGCTATACGATTTAAATGGATAACCAGTAAACAAGTAATTAATATCTCGTGGCCGTGGTAATTTCAAGTTAAAAAAGTTTAAAAAAAAGTTGGTTAAAAATATTGAACTGTTCTTCAAGGACAAATAATTATTAATAACTCAGTTTGCGTGAGTTATTAATAACTTGTCGCAATTTCTGAACATGGGAGTGATAGCGGCCAAACGTCTATAAAAGCGCTGGAAAGGTCCCGTCAACAGGCTCAGAATTTCAGTTCAGGAATTGTTGTCGTCGCGAGAGTTATCGTGGAGTCTCGGAAGTTGAAGTGGTAGATTCGTGAACCGACGATTTGAGAAATATATATATATATATATTTAATTAATTGTTTAGAGATATTGACTCATAACGTTGTTTAATTAATTGTTTAGAGATATTGACTAATAACGTTGTTTACTTAATTAATTAGAGATATTGACTAATAACGTTGTTTAATTGATTTCATTGGAGATATTGACTCATAACGTTGTTTGATTAATTTAATTAGAGACATTGACTCTTAACGTCAGTTTGTAATTATTGTTACTTGCCTAACATTATAAACAGTGTTTCACTTTGTAATAGAGAGATTGTTACGACATACTTGTTCTTGTTGCGAGGTTGAAATAATAATAAGAAAAGTTAAAGAACGAACCCTTCCAAACAATCTTAATAACAATTTGATAGACGAATTGAAAAGTTCAAAGATTATAATAAATTTATTTGAAATTTCCCCGCTAGGTTTTTTAAATATTTTAAACTATCATTAATTAATTTTATTTTGTCTGACCTTTTTATAGAAGTTTAATTAATTTTGTAGTATCGTCATCTTACGCAATTTACTGTGATAGGAACATGATTTGAACATAATTTAATGCTGATTCTATTTCTCTTTGTGTCCATTTAAAATGTATGGCGAGCATTGTAGAATATCTATATAATTTACATTGTAAGTTTTATTATTTTAACTTTATAATTACAATGTATGTTTTAAATGAAAATAAAAAGATGTTCTCATTATTATTATTTATTTATTTACACTCTTATATATTATTAATAATTTTTGATTGATTTAATTTTGATTTTATCTTTTTGGTCAATAAAAGATTGTTTCCATTATTGTTGTTGTTATTATCACCATTATTATTATTATTATTATTATTGCTGTTGTTATTTATGGTGTTGTTGTTATTATCATTATATTGTTATTGTTAGATTGCTGATTAATCCGATTAACGTTATTGTTGTTCATTCTTCGAGTTGGAAGTGTTGTTGTGATTCGTTGTTGGATGTTGATGGAAAGTTTTTCAGATAAAAATGGCTTCTGCGATTCTTAGGTTGTAGTGCTGTTGATTCTTGTATAACATTTTTGTGTTGTTATCTAGAAGGTTTCTAGTCATTGGGGTGTTGTGAAAAGTTTCTAGATAGTTTTTTATTACACCGTCGTCTCTTGTGCATAGTGAGTCTACGCAATAGTATTGTAGTAATCATCCCTATATATAAAGTTTGAAGACGCACACAGTCGTCAAGAGGAGAAGAAAATTTATATACGAGATAATTATGTTTTAAAAGGGAAATTAAAAGGTTAGATGTTTTGTAGTTTTTCTAAAAGATTTTTATTTTATTCTATAGTTCAGGTTAATTGGTTCAATATTATTATGAATTATGGGGGGTCTCGTGGCTGAGTGGTTAGCGTGTCCGTCTACTACTCCCACGACCCGGGTTCAAATCCTGCAGTTTCTACAGGTTCACCCGAGTAGCCGACTCCCGGCCAACCCAGCCGTCCATCCTTTCGAGGTTGATAAATGGGTAGACGACGTAAGTTGTCGCTTGCTGGCCGGCGAGATGGTTCAGTGGTTCAAATGCTTGCTGAGTCAAACATCTCAATGGCTATCATATACACAGCGTGCACTTAAAATACATGTGTACGTCGTGTGAAAAGGATAAACAGCCTTTGTGGCGAGGATGGCTGCTTCAAACCAATGGATGAAGATATGAAGAACATAATAAAAGATATATAGATAATATATCTGTAACATTGTATATGGTTCTGCGTATGCTAGAGCTGCAATAATA